TATATTGCACCAAAGCATTCATACATAGCTAACTGCATAAATTCTTTAAAAACTTCCGTTTCTTGCAAAAGAAAACTTTTCATTCTCTTCTAAAAATAAACTATAATGAATGGGACAAAGAAAATCGGAAGAATGACTTGATTAAAAACACAAAAATAAATGTAATTTTTCTAAATCAAAAAGTTGTGGAATAAATTGAGTACAACTTCCGGATGTTTTTATAAAAAATATATATAATCACTTTAAGACACTTTTCTTCACCACTAGCAGATTTGCTTAATTTAAATATAAGCTCCAAATACAGAAATTTTGAGAAACGACCATCTTTTACGCATATTTTTGGAATCGTCAAAAGTAAAATCAAAAACTCGATGAATCACTACCAAGGAAAACGGGACTAAAAACTCCAATACTAGTTTGATTACCAGAAGCTTGAAGGCGTTTCTAGTAATTGATTTTCAAATCCTTTGTCTTCCAGCAATGAAGCAGGTTTTGATGTTTTAAAGCACACCTTTCACAAAAGTGATACTTTTTTTTATTTTACCTTGCTGTAACATAAATTATCGATCCCTAACATGCATACTATTTTACTTTATTTTTGAGATCGATTCTAAAAATATATATTAAAACCAGTTATTAGAAAACATCCAGTATAATGTATGTCTCATGTGATGTGTGTTTGCAGTGAGTTGCAAAAATATATAAACTAAACTTTAAACTCAGTGGCACAACAGCCCATGGAGGGCCAAGGCCTACAGTGCCCATCTCAGTTTTTTTGATCTTGGGCTCTTGGGATGTTCCGGCAGTTAGGTGGTCGGCCGAACGCGGAACCCCCAGTGTTTAGTACCCAAGCAGGCTTGGTACTAGTTTTATCGACCCACCAAAAATATATACATTAGTTTTTTATTATTTCATAGTTAAAAAAAACATGCAATATTAATTAACAGTCAAAAATTTATGCACATTGGAGAACTTTTTGTGAAACCCAAATTGAGATACACTGCCTAAAAGTGAGTATGCCTGAAGGTGAATTTTTTTTTTTTAGTATTTTTTGTGTACGACCATGCAGCAAGTAATCCTGCTTTGGATAATAGGGTGTTTAGAAAAAAGTTTAACGTAATATATTGTTTAAAAGCTGCACAATGAACCACACTAAATATGATGACAGAACAAGAAAAGTAAACAAATTATATTTATTATATACAAAGAACTGATAATTATGTATTCATATCACAGAGCGTTTCCTAATAATAATTTTTTTTTACAAATAAATCCATACTATAGTTCAAAAAAAATATATATATGGTAATACTATGAATTCAAATGCTACTACATTTGTTCATATCGCTATGAAAAAATAGCATATTTATGCACATTTTACAATATGCCAGGGCTGTGCTTAGGCCACCCAGGGCCACTAAAAAATCAGTTCAGTTACTGGGTTTAAGTTAATCAATTTTAAAATACATATATTCTTAGAATATAATTTAGATATATCTATAGTTTTCTTTGTCATACAATCAAACAATTTGCAATATATTGAAGAATTTAAAAAATTTAGGTTTTATGTCTTTCAACATTCCAGTATGTTCAATAGCAAATTTAAAAATGTAGCCGATATGTTTTGGGCGGCCGCTAAAGCACTAGGCACACCCCTGACACTAATTATATAAAAATGTCATGGAAAGGTTGCTCAAAACAAAACTAAAAACAAACAAAAATGTAGAGGTTTTATCAGTACAAGAAAAAAATACACTGTATGATAAATTAAAATTTTTGTTTCAAAAGCTATTGCAAAATTTAATTTTCGTGATCCCTCTTTCAAACAAATTATTTTTTTAGCTTTCCTGATAATTTAGAGGTGAAAAAAATTTTTTAAGCCAAGAAAAACAAGTTTATTAGAATTAAGTATTTTTTTCATGACTAAGATGTAAGATGACATGACAAAAATCTGACATCTTGTAGTTTGTGATATTACTGTATGAGGAAATAAGTAAGGCACAGCGTCGGTGCACTTTTAATGTCAAACTCTAAAAAATCAATAATACTGAATAAAATATGAAATGCAGTTAAATTAACCACCTTAAAGTATCTTGTAAACAGAAATAAAAAAATAAGCAATCATTCACAAAAAAAAAGAAAAATATCAGAAAATAAGATGCAGTCAAAAAAATAAAATTGGAGTTACCAGTAATTTTTAAGTGTTTCATGGGCTTAATTGCATGGGCATAAGTTTTTCAGGAGCTGTAGAAATTATGAAAAATCCCTAGAAACCATCAACCTATCAACTAGTAACGAAATTTGCAGAAAGAAAAAGAATGACCGTGTAGCATTCTTTATAGGAAATGGTGTGTCATCATTTATAGGAAATAGTGTTTTAAAAAAATATTACTTAACAGTTTCATTGTTATGCTACAGTCCCAGAGTTAAATACAGATAATCATATTACAAAATTTCCTATGCAGGTAATAAAACCAAATATTATCCTGAATAAATTTTGTATTTAGTAATTAAAGGAGTAAATAAATGTTTGTCCTAACCTATTTTTGGCCAAAGGTGTGTAAATGCAAAATTTCAATAAATATTTTTTATTAACACCGTGTCATGTAATTTTTACTAATTTTATTTTTCTACTATTGTCAAGGGTTCTGAAGACATCTATAAAATATAAGTAATCCAATTGAAGTAACTGTTCCTGTTGAGCAATTTTCAAATTACGCTGCTTTTTTTTAAAAACTTGAAACAGTTATCGAAGAGTTCCGACTTTTTCAAGATGCATAATTATTCCACTTGATATTAATCATATATTTTTATGGTGAATTTAAGTTTCAAATTCTGTAAATAAAGTTAAAGTATCTTTATATATATAAAAATAGAGCTCAACTAAGTAATTAATCCATTGATTTGGCCAATTGTGGGTTCACCATTTTATTTTTAAATAAAATATTTTTCCTGCATGAAATTTTTTTTTTGTGTTTATGAATTGATTTAAGCAGATTTCAATGAAAATAATATATTTCATAAAATTTCTACCTAATTCTGGCCTAAAATAGGTTAATAAATAAATGTGCTTGATGTTCCCAAAACAAATTTCGATTTTTCAATTCATAAGTAAACATTGATAATGTTTTAAAAAATTAATGACAAGCATGAAACCAACATCCACATACATTTGAATCTATGAACAATAACCTCTTTTTAAATGATGTCTAAAAACTTAAACATATTTAAATTGATTCCACTGTGAAATCAACAGAAAACTCAAAGTTGATGAATAAAAATATTATTCCAACAAAATTTTACACAGTCAATAGGAATAATTTTCCTACAAATTTTCTTTATGAAAGAAATAAATGTAATACCTTTATCACAGGTGATAAACTATATTTCTAAATTTATGTACAAATTCCTGATCCTAAGTTTAAATATGTAAACTCAATACAGTGACTAGTTGAACAGATAGCAATAACAATAGTCTTGAAAAACAAAATTACAATTCTATTTAACAATACATCTCAAAAGACCACCATTAATTACATTATGGCACATAAACAATTAAAAAAAAAATCTTGTAACAATAATTCTTTAGTAGTAATTTATGCAAAGATTTTTTAAACACAAAAAATAATGTATAATGAACATTTCTTAGGTTATAAGATTTAAGTTAATGATTTTTGATAAGTTCCAATTTTATTGTATTTTTCTTCCTTTTTGCGATTTATTAGTATAGAATTTAAAGAGAAACTATAAATTATAAATAAAAAATTGTAACTTTATAAACCTTTCATATTTTTCTTAGGATTGTAATTTTACTAAACACAAAAATAATCAAAGCATAAAAACAATTTTTTTTCTTCTTGATAGTAAGAGTAATGTTACTAACCCAATTATGATTAGTTAGAATTTTCATGCAACACAAATATTTTATTCAGAGGAATTTTTATTGCATTGTTTTATCTTCTAAGAATGGTAACGTCACTTTTGATAACATTTAGAGTAACCTGATGCAATAAAATCATATGTATCTTAAAAATGTTATCAACAAATCAAAAACACATCAAATTTTTTTGTCCCATATTAATAGTGATAACATATAAATAGTGATAACATATAAATAGTGAATAACATTTTAAACATAGTGAATAACATAATAAACATAATGAAAAATACTTAAATTTCCGGGTTGCCACTCAAATCTGGAAAAAAAAGTTCCCTGTGTTTTCTCTGTATTATACACAATATATTAAGATGAAAAACACAATCACTGTGCAAATGTGTGAGCTATATTAGGTAACTAATATTAGTTTTAATTGCTGGAAAAACTAAGAAATAAGGAACAGTTCAACATATATATAAAAAAAAGAATACAGCAAATGAAATAGTATAGCATAGCTGAAGTATCTTTATGTATCTCATAGATTACAGTTTGAGAGGTCAACATTTTATAAAAGAAGAATAAGAAATAAATGTTCCCTGTATTTTCCCAGCTTATAAGGAAAATTTCAAAATTCCCTGTTATTTCAGATAATTTTTTAATTCCCTGTAATTTCCAGCTTTTCCTTATTTTCCCAGTGGAGAGGCAACCCTGATTTTTTAACAAGAGAAAAATTACTCTTATAAATTTTTCGAACAGACATAAAATTCTTAATAAAATTTTAAAAAATATACAGGACAAATGAATTCTCTGGAATATAAGTTCAGAGAGAAAAATTGCACATAGAGCTCCCTAGCAATAAATTTAATCAGATTTTCTTTTAGTTAAAAGAACATGAAATTGTTAATTAATGATTAGTTTAATTTTTGGATTGATTCTAGAACAACACAACAAATAAATATTAAAATATATATATGTATATAAGAAAGGGAAAAATTAAATTAGAAATACAATAATATATTTTTTTATTACTTTAGTACTTATACGAGTTAAAAAAGTTAATTTCTATCTGAAAATATATTTAACCTATGAACTAATATATTTTGCTAAATACATTTATCACAGTTAAGTTAAAAATTACTTAATATTTAGAAAAAGAAAAAAAAAATAAGTGTCTAAAGATCATTTAAGTAAATTAAAACAACTCATTTCAGATGATTAACAAAATTAGGAACTTAGAACAAAATATACAATGTATTTAAGAAATGTACAAAAGAAAATCGTAATAAAATGTATTGAATGTAAAATAAAAAGGTAGAATTTATCATACCACCAAACAAATACATAGAAATTAAATGTCAGACAATTGTTCATCACCAGATGAACCGCGTATCTTCTGCAACTGGAAGCTCGACTTACGGTTTGACAACTGCTGCGTCCGCAGTGACAAGTCAGCAGAAAACTCTTCATCCTCCATGTTAGTTTGGGAGCCCTCCTTTACGGTATCCGAGGAAGGCATTGATGGAATATAAAATATCGAATCATTCAAAACTTTAGGTTTCCTGGGTTTCGAGTCTTCCTCGGCATGTTCGTCCTCAGAGTTTGTGCGAGAACTTTCAGCCGTCCAAACGTTCGAAGGTGTCGTAAGCAATTGACTATCGATAATACCGTTGGCGTCGTGAGGTACGGACAAGGAAGAGTTGAGGTTGGGGAAGCTCGAGTGATGGTGAGCTGTGAGCTTCGATTGTATTATCTTTTTGGCAGATATATCCTTCGTCTCCAGTTCGAGTGTTTCTAGGGATTTCTCCAGTTGCTTTATTTCGTTGAGTCCCTTGTCTAAAGAACTGCTCAGGGCATTGGATGCATCTTTGCTTTTAAGAGAAGTTTCCACAGTCTGAAGGTTTGCATTGTGAGGTAACATGGCTACCATTTCTCGCTTGAGAATTGATTCAGCTTCATTACTGGAATTCATGACAATGGAAGAGACGGATCGCAGTGAATATTCTAGGCCATTCTGTGTGGGTTTTGAAGTTGACCTTTTATCCTCATGAGTAGGGATACTATGATCATCACTGAAGTAAAAAAAAGTTACATTCATTGAAATTGCATACATATGCATACAAAATGCTTAACATGTTTTTTTTTTCAATAACTTTTCCGACTGGCTATAAACGCTCAGAAAAAAAAGTATCCAACTTTTCTAGACAGATTTTATCCAGTTTATTGTTAAGCCTTCATGTTAAACATAAAATATACATAAAAACAATTATACCTGCAGTTAGAGTTAAAAAATTTTTTAAAAAATATTACATTATTTTAGTTTTAAAAGCACCCCAAACTTACATTTATTCATTTTCCCTAACTTTTTAAGGTATTTTAGCCAAATTTCATTACATTTCCTTTTATTTTTCCAAACTGATAAAATTCCCTGTTTCCCCCCTGATTTCTTTGTCGTGTTCTGCCTGCTAATCAAAGCCTTTTCTTCTCTACAAAGCTCACAACTTGTTTCTTAGCTGTTTGAAGCTATTAATTTTTAGGACTGATCTGATAATTCTGGCACAGAATTTCTGGAATGAAACTGCAGCACTTCTTTCTTTAATCTTTATAAATTCAAATTTACTCAACGCAGTATATTTTGCAATTTAGCGTATATTTAGCAACATGAAAATAAACTAATATATATAAAAATAAACTAATAAAAAATCACATACTGGTAAACAAAAGTTGCCGTAATCCGAAGGTTACATCATTATAAACAAAGAATATCATGGTAATCAGAAATGGGATTTCAGCAAAACTTATGGAAACTTATCGCCAACTTTATCCTTTTATCTACTCCTTAACTTAGAAATGTTTTAAAAAGGAGTTTTAGCAATTTTTCTGCATTCGTTTGCTTGCTTCTTAAAAATAATTTTTATGAAAAATAATCTTCAGAGCTTGCTGTTGTGTTGGAGGATTTCTGCTACCAGATTAATAACTATGAAAAAGTTCATGCAAAGTTGATCTCCGCTTAAAGTAATGTCTAACCTGCAGATCTGTACTGGGTTATAAAAGTCTCAGAACCAATTTTTAAAGTGAATATTCATCAATTCTAGAATGGAAGTGTTTTTAATGTTTTCCACAGCATCAAAGTTTATTCCTGTAGTAAAATTTTCAGTTTTGAAGGCGAGAAAGTTTGTGCATGGTGAGTATGAAATGTATGGTAGAAAAATCTTTTTTACAGCCCTCTGAAACTAAAAAAGTTGCAAAAGGAACTCAGATTAAAACTGTTGAAGACATAAAGACTTTAAAAGTTGTTTCTGAAACCTTAACAATACATAAGCGTACTATGACAAGTTGAAGGTAATTTTGAAACGCATTAAATACAAATGTAGACCTCATAATATTTTGGAGTACACAAAAATAATATAGCATTGCACAGTACATGGTCTGAAAATTTAGTCTGAACATAAATTTTTGACTTGTATGGTCAAGAGATTTGCAGAACAGGCCTAAAAAATCTCATGTTGCTGTTTCAATCAATTTATTTACTTGTTTGCTTTCTTTTTAGGGTTGGCCAAAAAGAAATACAGATGTTTAAAAAAACAAAATGAGTGAATTTTGTCTTTAATTGAAACATATTTCTGAATTTAAGTGCATTTTACAAAGCTTCTTCACATCAAGTAAACAAAGAAATTTATGCTGAATATGAATAATATGGTATCTTACTAAATATAATCAAGTCTATGAAGAGATTATAACCATCGTTGAACAGACGACCCAATTTTACGATTTACGACTACTAATGTTCAACTGCATAGCCTTGTAATTTTGAACCAATCCAGAAGACAAGGAAACTCCTGAATCAGTACCCCCAGAGGTATGATATGTTATGGGACCATGGAAGACTTTGCAACTCGGCAAATTTAACGTGCATCAGTCAACATTTACTACACGTGGAGTCTTCGACTGGGGGGATCGAACCCACGACCTCTCGGACATGGGCCCAGTGCCCTACCAACCAGGCTATCCCAGCCCCTTAAGAAGGGATTAAACTTTTTTGTTAAAAATATTTGAGCACATTTTTTTTTATCCACAGCTGTTAAAAATGTACTTTTCAATGCAAATCTGAAAATGCACAATGAATTTACAGTTTTTTAAACACCAAATTTTAAAGATAAAATCTCAATTATTTTCACATATATTTCAATTTAAAAGGCGCATTAGTTTGCCACAAACTAGGATATCGGAATTAATATAACTTACTTGCTAGAAGAGAACTTTAGTTCAATCAATGAACTCAAATTAGGTAATGTGGCACTCAAGTCTTTTGTGGTCAGCCGGAACAAAATACGAAGCTGCGTAAGGAAATAATATATTTTTTTATTAAAGCAACTTTCCACATAATACAATAAAAAAGTCAAAATGCAAAGTAATCATTTAGGTTAATGATGCTTACTATAGCCATCAACTTTAAAAAGAAAAAATCAAGTAGACTTTGAGAAATATAAATTTCTCACGAACTATTATGCAACATCTAAAACATTTTAAGCACAGAGAATTTAATGGATTTTTAAAGCGAATAAGAAACAAAAAACTATATTACGCTAACTTTAAATGCAATATTTCCTTTTTATGACTTAAATTAAATGAACTTGAACATTGGTGATCAAAATGGGCTACAGGTGGCGTAGAGCAGAACTTGGTACCTATGGCAACTGTCACGACGTTGCCTCGTGACAATTCTCGTGATGAAACTTGTTAATTAAAAAGTTGATTAATCTCCCGCGGTCTCATATCGCAATCGAATTACAATGGTCAGTTGAACTTTTAACTTTCTAGAAATTTGTCACAAGATTATGTTTGATTTGTCGACCTTCGGATGCATGATAAGATTTTGTTTGACCCCTTGAAATAAAATATATAAATAAACTCCATAAAAAGAGGAAACACGGAGAATACAGAGAATTCCGTCTGATTGCAAGAGAGACTCTCAATACGAGCAGCCATGGGTAAGTGTGGTCCTCCTCCTCCTCCTTATATAATAGTATAACGATTAAGTAATAAATAAAATATAATTATAACTTTTAATTTGGATTCTTTAATTAAAAACAATACCCGTCACACTACACTTCGCATGCTTGTGGAAAGTCATAGGAGAAGGAAGTACGTTAGTTTCTCTCTTGATTTTCAAATAGATAAAAATCTTTAAAATAAGGAAACTATACGGAACTGAAAACTACATTGAACATAGTTCTAAAAGACAAACGCAAATAAAATATTTTTACTGTGTTCATTATATTTTGGAATCTATCATTTTAGAAATTTATAAACACCTAGCTTATTATGGAGAGTAATTAATTTTAAAATAAAGTATTCTGCTGAATAAAAAAAAGAAAAAAAGACTATTTTAGAAGATTGAAATAAATAACTGAATGAAAAGAAGCTTACTTCAACACTTTGCAGAATTTTTATTGAACACATTTTTCGTTATTTTATATTATTTAGGTTAGAATAAGTGAAGTTAATTAGTTAGCATATTAATAATTTATGCTTATGAAATACAGTATGAAATACCAGTGCCTTTTTCTGTGTTAAAGGCAAAATCTTCCAAAGATGGCTCACTTCCTAACAATAATTTCTCAAATTTGCACTTATTTAGATCTAAGAGAAACATTTATTCATCATTGAAATTTCAAAATCACTTATTGATAAATGTTTGTATCTGAATGAAGAAAAAAAATATTCTAGCTACATTTTTTATTTTAGTACAAATATAATTCTGATAATTTAACAGTTATCTTTTAGTAACTATTAAACTGTTTTTTATAATGAAAAAAAAAATACTAAAATATATTTTTGCTGGTAATTAGAGCATCAGAAAATATATAAAAGAAGCACAATTGTCTCATCTGGGTCAAAGGATTAATGTTTAGCAGCAATACTTTTATACAAACAATTAAATGAATAATAATAAAAAAAAAGTTTTTTGTAATAATCAAAAAGAGAGAAAAGTGTGTCCGGAGCTGGATGTTAAACTTCACTGTTTAGATTTTTTTTTTTTTTTTTTAAAAAAAAGGAAGTTTATTTTAAATGTTATTAAATCAGTTTCCATCAAAATTTCTAAAAGTTTTCCTTTTTAAATTTATTAAAATAATGTTAAAATTAACAATAAAATTACCTGTGCTATATCTTTATTCAATAAAAATACTCCATATTCAAAAGGCTTTCTATCTCTTCCTTTCAAATGCAAAGGAAATCTACAATAAAATTATTCAAATTAACCTAGAAAATGGCTGTAGATACCTTGTACCAGAATACAGAATTTACAATGAATTTTAAAGTGAATTTTACAATAAATTTTTTAATGTATAATAAAATTATTCAAATTAATATAGAAAATTGCTGCAGATACCTTGTACCAGTATATAGAATTTACAATGAATTTTAAAGTCACATCCTTTTGCACTACTCAATTTATTTAACTTTGATGCAGGACTGTTGGATAATCTCACATTAAACATCATTATGTGATAAAATTTGAATCCAGAAATTAAAAAATGTTAACAGTTAACAGAAAAAAGAATAACAAAATAAAAAAACAAAGAGATTAAAATCTATTAAAGATGCACACATGTGCTTAAAAAGTATTAATTTTAGGATAAATGAAACTTTTAATTTCTTGGTTCAATTTTTTTATACTAATTAGATATTCAAAAGCCTTTTTATCCCTACCTTTCAAATGCCAAGGAAATCTATAATAAAATTATTCAAATTAACCCAAAAAATTGCTGCAGATACCTTGTACCAGCCAATAGAATTTACAATGCATTTTAAAGTCACTTGCATCTTTTTACCTCATCCAATCGATTTAACTTTGAATGCAGGTCTGTTGCATAATCTCACACAAAACAGCGCTGTATGGTAAAATTTGAATCCAAAGTTTAAAAAAATTTTAATAGTTACCATAAAAAAATTAATAACACAATTAATACAAAAAAAAGATAAAAATCTCCCAAAGATACACAACATTTGCTAAAAAAGTAAATATTTCAGAATAAATGAAATTTTTAACTTTATGGTTCATTTTTTTACATTAATTAGATAAAATAGTCATAATAATTTGCTTTGAAATCTTCTAACTATATCTGTTTGGAACTATTTATACCAAATACTTTTATCATCAGTATCAAGTAAAAACATATTTTATAATTAATAATTAGTTAGATATTCAGACATGCTACAGCAATTTTGGGAAAACAAATTACAAATTTATTAAAAAATACAATTACAAAGAATTTAATAGCATATGTTTTTTAGTACATACACCATTACACTGACCCTTCCCTTAAAACGAGCAATGCATAAAATCCTACTAGCTATTCCATTGAACTAAACTCAGCTGCGTGACAGCCCATAGAGGGCCAAGGCCATAAGTATCCATCTCAGTTTTCTTGACCTTGAGCTCTGGGGTACAAGAGCAGATGTTTCGGTTGGGTGGTCACCCCAATGCGGACCCCCGCCAGTGTATAGTCCCCAAGCATGCTCGGTACTCCTTTTATGGATCCAATGATGGGATGAAGGCTGAGTCAACCTTGTCTGACCCGAGGATTGAACCAAGAGACTGGGGCATGTGAGCAAAATACTAAATACAAAAAAAAGGGGTCACTTACTCTCTAGAGTTATCAGGCAAACAACTTGATATGTGATCAACAATGGTGGAACGAGAGCCATAGAAATTAATTAGATATCTTAGAGGAACATTTAAGAACTGGGATATCATAAGAACACTATGACAGACATATCCTAAGGCTACTGCAATCATCACATCATCATGACCTGAAAAATAAGATATATTTGTTAGAACATCAGACATAAAATTTCAAAAAAAAAAAAGAAAGAAAACCGGTTTAAAAAAATCACATTTAATACTATATAAAAATAAATTACAACAAGTTTTCAACTTTTAAAACAAGATAATTATATAATTCGATATATAGAATATTTCCAACAGGAAGAGAAAGATAGCATTTGAAAAAAAAGAGAAGGGTTCACATCTTTGAATATTAGGGACAAAGTTTTAAATTATTAATTTACATATGGAAAAGGCAGATAGCAAAACTGACCATAGAAACCTTAGTACAATGGCCACAACACAGAGTGAGAAAAATTAACAAGTGAATGATCCACAATAAGATGTTGCAAGAGAGAGATAGCTGTGCTGTACACCATAGAAACTTTTAAAGCAGGCATTTTGATTTAAAATCTATGAGGGTTTGAAATCACATTTTGTAGCATAAAAATTTATCCCTTGTCTTAATAACATGTTTAAAACTTTAATAAACACAATTAAAATATAAAACTGCGCTAATATAGTAAAGGTTTTTTAATAAAATTTTTAATCAGGGTAATTTTTTTTAAAAAGCTATAAATAGAAATTAGTATTTAATTATGCATAGTGTAGCTATATAAATAACAGTTCTGTTTCTTATAAAAACTTTTATTCACAAACAGTAACAAAAATGAAGTACCCATAATGGGATGGTTAAAATATTATAAAACAAACTAGAAAAACCTGTATGAAAACTCAAATATTATATGAAAATGCAAATTCCGAAACAAAACAAATATCTAACAAAAACCAACAACATTTAATCAACCAACGTAAAATCATTTATGAATATAAAACTTCAATATTTCCTAATATCTTTGCTGAAATAAGAAGTATTTTTAGGTGAAAGATTACTTTTGTTCTTATTATATTTTCGTAACTTACCAGCAAAGTTTTCAGAATTTGGAAGGTGCACGTTATGTATGCTAAAGCCCTTGCGATCAGGAAACTAATAAAAGAAAAGAAATACTGATATTATGAATAATCTTTTTTAATCTAAAGAAAGAAGATGAAAGAAGACTTAGCTTACTTCTACAATGGGATAAATGCAACTTAATTCAGATACTAATTGTTTTCTTCTCAAGTTCAGTTGAGCTTCAGTTTTCAAAAAAGATTCCCTGAAGTCTACATGAGACTTTGATAATTCAACACATTTTTCAACAGATCTTTTCTGTTCCTCAACACTTTTATTCAATTCGTTCTCTAAAAATTAATAACAACCAATAAGTGTCATGAAATAACCTTACATTAAATACTAAAAATATAAAAATGTTAAATCTGCCAAAAAATTCCCAAAAGTATGGCAGAATCTTGAGGAAAAAGCATCGTGTTTTTAAGATAGGTATTAGGGTATTTTATCTACATCATACTAGAGCTGCACAATAGGATATTGGCGACAATCTGGGAAACATCCCTGAGGATGATCCGAAGACAAGCCATTACAATTTTATTTCTTTGCGGAGGGGATGACTCCTCTACTTTGGTCGCTCAATGACCAGCGGTCGAAATTGAGCAATTTACGGTAGAACAGTTTAACGATGTTCGATACCACACACCCTCAGTCCTTTCATAGCCTGATCAGAGAAGTCAACCACCTACATATTGACCACAGCCAGTGATGCTTGACTTCGGTGTTCAACTGGGAATCGTGTCTCACGATCAACCATCACAATTTTGATCCCCTGCAGAGGGGATGGCATTCCTACTTCATTAGCCAGACAACCTGCGTGCGAAGTCGAGCACTTTATGGTAGAACAGTTTAACAAGGCCAGATNCCGCGCGCTTGGCAGACACCAAGACGCTAGGCCCGGTTAGAAACGGTGGCGTTAAAAACCACGTGAGAGAGCTCGGGAACAAAACAGAAAGAACGAGAAAGATCCGTGGGTGTTTTAAAAAAAGGGCCGCCGGCAGTATTGGACAAATTCAAGGACCTATCAAGTTTTTCAAGGACCTAAGACGTTTTTCAAGCACCTTCAAGGACCTAAATTTAGAAAAAAAAATTCAAGGACTTTCAAGGACTCTCAAGGACCGTGGGAACCCTGATTATAGAAAATTCATCTTTCTATTCACATTTCCACAAAAATTTCTTTTTAACGGTTGACCTTAATAATATGTGTTAGTAACCATATTTTTGAATATTCAAAGAAATATTATGTAAAAAAAAAGTAAAACATGCATATGGCAAAATACCCCAAGGGTCCTAATGAACTCATAAAAAAGGTTCTAATTTTTTGGGTGTGAGGGAAAAATACAAGAATTTTTTATTAATAAAGCAGAAAGGGGCAAAATCCTGTAGGCTACTGGAAAACAGACACCATAAAGTAAGCAGCTAGGGTGGTGATAGAAATGATAATAATCTCATGGTTTGATCATCTTTTTAATGCTAAGATACTAATTTCCATGTCAAATATCTTTTAAATGCAAAGTATTATTATATTTTTCTTAAATAAGAAGTATACATACTTTTTTTCACTAATTCCTCTCTATAGGCAGTAACATCTTTTTCAAGCGTAAAGCAACTTCTCTGTTGATACTGAAGTTCAGTTTTCAAAATAGATATTCTTATTTTTAGTAATTCTCTCTGAGCGTGGATATGGTGCATTTCTTGACTACTTTGCAGTCTGGCATTGATACTATTTCTCCTCCTCTGTACAGCAGCTCGGGTTTGTTTGATTGCCCTCTCCACAGTTTTGATCCTAAAACAATATTTGGATACCATTACAAAAGACTTTCACGCTGAAATACTAACACAAATCCATCTATAGGTTCACTTTTTTCTAGTATTGCTTAAATATTTTTTGGAACAGAAAGAAGAAATTCATTTGACTAAAGTTAATTTTATTTTTTAGAATTTATTTTTCTGAAAGAGAAAGAATTTTTAAAAACTTCCCTCACTGTAAAGAATTGGCAATAAACTTGAACCTCTTTGCTTATAAATTACCAAATTTAGAAGTTTCGTATTTATAGCTACTGATAAACTCTGAATTTTTTCGGGCTTTCTCCAACAAACTTCCCTGGCACTAATATATATATATATTGCCTTAAAATACCTTCAATAATAATAATTACTAATTTAAAGTAACAGAAACGTTGTGTTGACAGAAGAAAGTGCAGAATAAAAATATATAAAATGTTTTGACTGCAAAAATAATATTTTTTTAAATAAAATTGTTCTAATATTCTAATAAAATAGGCGATATTCTCACATTTTATAGGTGGATAAAGGCAATAATTATTTCCTCTTTCAAATTTCGTAAATCAATTCTTAAAGTTAAACAATTAAAACAGTCAAATATCTTCAAAAATAAATTAATTGTGGGAATGCAACTAAAACCTTTCATACAAAAATAATTAAGTGAACAGTTCCACATTTTCCCATTTGAAACTTATTAAATGAAAAATGATAAGTTTTGAAACAAAATTTAATAATGAATTTACTGAAAGTAGTAAATAAGTCAATGAATTTAAACTCTACACTGTAAAAGTTGGTGATTATAAAATTATCAATTTAGCTTCTTTTTTTGAAGAAATCAATAAAGTACTAAAAATCCTGTTAATAAATAGTACTTGTTTCTAAAAAAGGTAAAAATAATGTATTAAAAATGATTAAAAAAAAAAACTGGCTTGAGGCATCAAACACTAAAAAATAGAGGACACAAAACATACTAAATGGTAAAAAAAGGACCTATTTGAGAAACCTGCATTTTTTTTATTAAAATATAGATGCTGGTCAGTTTTACTCTAACAATCCTCTAAGAAAAAGAGTTTGTCCCAATGTTTATATTCTGGATGTGAATGTGGATTTAAAATTACAAAATTTCAATAATAATATAGTAATGACAATGAAATTTTTTTTTGAGGAATAGTTTAAAATTTAAATTTTAGTCTCGTACATGTACATTCCATTCCATTTTAAAAATTAGATGTTTCAGTGACCTAAATCCATGACTTTCAATGATTTTTTTTAAAAAAAAAATAGTTAAAATCATGACAAATTTTGCTCAACATCAAAATTCATGACTTTCCAGGTGTGCAGATACCCTGTAAATAAATTATGTTTCAAATCAGTTTGTCATTATTTCAAAGAAAAACTAAGTGGTTTAAAGTCACAAATTTCTCATGAAAAAAAAAAAAAAAAAAATGGCTGTGAAGCACTGAAAGGGGTTGATGAATGGAAGGAGAGAAGAGGCATATTGTTTTCAAATTTTAAAAAGAACAGGTAACTAAAAATAGTAGCCAAAAAATGCATGAAACAATACATTACAAGAATATTCCTTACACCTTAATTTATCAAATACAATGAATAATCTTTACCTAGATAATGTGCTTAATGTGCACGATGTTCGTAAGCTAGCACCATCAGCATCAAGTAAATCAGTGATACTAGACTTATGACTACTTCCACCAGTATGCTAAACAATAACATAAATTAACAATACATTTATTGAAAGAGAGTATCATATGTTTTTCACAGACAACATACTTTAATATTAAGATTTTAGATCTTTCAACAAAGCTTCATCTACATTATTAGTACATAACCTATTCCAGAAGAGAGCTACAGTAAAATTAATTTAGACTCGGAGAGATTCAGTTTTTATCTCAATAAACAATAACTTATTTACTTTTCTTTTGCTATGCAGATTGCTACAATATATTTATGAATTAGTTTTTAAAATTAAAAGACAAAATTCAGAAAATTGCAGGCTTTGGGCATGTTTTCTCTTCCCATAAAAAAAGTTGTTCTTTATATAAATGTAAAAAGTTTTTTAATTTATCAATATTATATTATGTTTTCAATTATATATTTTCAATCTTTAAAACTTTTTTTTCACNAGTTAGGCACAAAAAATAGAGGATGTAGGGGAAGTTTGGGTTTATTTGTATTTTTACCACTTCACATAAATACAGAAAGGTCAGAAATTAACTCTAACTATTTATTGAAAGGACAAAACACATATAAAATAAAAGAAGAATAAAAAAATACAAGAATTTGGAAGAGGGGGTTTTGGGCTCGAATTAAACGTCCATACTTTACGGCGGTTCCTGGCAGACTGTCGTAGTTCACCGCCAGAGGCGCTGTAGTGGGGAAAGAGGAAAGCTTGTCACAAGGACACAAAACAAACTTAATGGTAAAAAAAGGACCTAAGAGGTAACTTATTTGGGAAACCTGCATTTTTTTTGTAAAATATAGATGCTGGTCAGTTTTACTCTAACAATCCTCTAAGTAAAAGAGTTTGTCCCAATATTTATATTCTAGAAAGTGAATGTGGATTTAAAATTAAAAAGTTTCAATAATAATAGTAATGAGATTGAAAAATTTTGTGAGTAATAGTTTAAAAATTAAAAAATTTAAATTTTAGTCTCTTACATATACACAATTCCAAAGACTTAAGAAAAGCCTATCTGAAAGGAAAAATAACCTGATCAGAGATTTGATATCGGACCAATGCCTAATACATCACAGTCAAGGGAAATAAAAATATGCTTATTTTCTCTTTTCAGATTGTAGCTAGGATCATATAGTTTACAAAATGTAAAGATGTTAAATTTATGGTAATAATTTAGTCTTCAGCTCAATTTAAACTTTTAATAAACTATGGCTTAAATTAGTTTGTGATAATTTCAAAGAAAAACTATGTGGTTTAAAGCCACAAATTTCTCCAGAGAAGGAAAAAAAAAAAAAAAAAACAAGCATAGACANAAAAAAAATATCGAACCAATGCCTATGACATCAAAGTTAGACTAAATCCCTGCTTGCCAGGTGAAAGGATTGCTGGGGTTTACAAAATGTAAGGATGTTTAAATTTATGGCAATGATCTTATTCTTCAGTTTAATTTAAAGTTTAAATATAGGGGTATCTGCTATATTTTAGATTTTCAAATTCATGACTAATTCCTAAAATTTTTCATGACTTAACGAAGCTACTATTTTTTCCGACAAAAACACAACAATAAATTTAAAAAAGCATTATAATAACATTAATTGAAATGATCGGTATAACCAAAACTGTTATACTCTGCATCTTCATATTTATAAATTTTAAATTTAAAAAAACAGAGTAAAGAATGAGTTGAAGCAATAAAATAGCCGAAAAAAATACAAAAGCAAATAATATTTTTTTTCTGCAGAATTATATTCTAAAGATACTTTTCTTGTTCATCGGAAAGGAAAGAAATACTCCTGATTTTTCTGTTCTCATTTCAGAATAAAAAAAAGTAGCCAATGACTGGCTTGCTTCAGCTAAAATTTTAAATTGATGAAAAAAAATAAAAAAATAAAATAACAACAAAAATTCTGAAATCATAGAAGTTCAAAAGTTAATTCACTCTAGAAATGATATTTTTTCTTTCATTGCTTGAAAAAACACTATAATTTTTCAAGAACACGATAAAAACATTTTATATTTCAATAAAATATGACTGTGAGTAGAGATTTTGTTACAAATTCAGATATTCGGAACATAATGAAATTGGGGGGGGGGAGGATTCCATTTTAAAAATTAGATGCTTCAGTGACCTAAATCCATGACTTTCCATGATTTTTTTTAAAAAAATAGTTAAAATCATGACAAATTTTGTTCAACATCAAAATTCATGACTTTCCAGGTGTGCAGATACCCTGTAAATAAACTATGTTTCAAATTATTTTGTCATTATTCCAAAGAAATACTAAGTGGTTTAAAGTCACAAATTTTTCCTGAAAAAAAAAAAAAAGTTGTGAAGCACTGAAAGGGGTTCATGAATGGAAGGAGAGAAGAGGCATCTTGTTTTCAAATTTTAAAAAGAACAGGTAACTAAAAATAGTAGCCAAAAAATGCATGAAACAATACATTACAAGAATATTCCTTACACCTTAATTTATCAAATACAATGAATAATCTTTACCTAGATAATGTGCTTAATGTGCACGATGTTCGTAAGCTAGCACCATCAGCATCAAGTAAATCAGTGATACTAGACTTATGACTACTTCCACCAGTATGCTAAACAATAACATAAATTAACAACATATTTATTGAACATATGTTTTTTTACAGACAACATAGTTTAATAACCTTATTAAGATTTTAGATCTTTGAACAAAGCTTTATCTACATTATTAGTGCATAACAAATTCCAGAAGAGAGCTACAATAAGAACTGGAAAGAAATTCAGTTTTTATCTCAATAAACAATAACTTATTTACATTTTTTTTGCTATGCAGATTGCTACAATATATTTATGAATTAGTTTTTAAAATTAAAAGACAAAATTCAGAAAATTGCAGGCTTTGGGCATGTTTTCTCTTCCCATAAAAAAAGTTGTTCTTTATATAAATGTAAAAAGTTTTTTAATTTATCAATATTATATTATGTTTTCAATTATATATTTTCAATCTTTAAAACTTTTTTTTCACTGAATATAATTTTCTTTCATCATATTGAAATAAGTCAAAAGAACAATTACACATTCTGCGCACATATTTTTTTTTTTACAAATATTTTGGCTGCAAGGTAGAGGCTGCATTTTTTAAGTCTCTATTTCATAAAACGTAAATTTTTCAAAAGTATTAAATTATACTTCAGTTATGAAAAATATGCTAATTTAATTGAATGCTTCATTTCTGGGTCAAAACTAACAGAATTTAATAATTTGTCTTATTCTAATTAATGTTCAGAAGGAACAATTAAAAAAAAGTGTATAGAGTTCCAAAATTACAATGATCTGACCTGAATTTTATTTTTAAAGTACTATCGATAAATTTTCGGCACACAGATGATATTTTTCGTATAATGAAAATTTTATTGCAAAAAATTACCTGATAGCAATCGCTACAACTGTAAAATCCTTCCGACATGCCAAAAATAATTGTATTTGGCTTAAAATTCTTCCCTTCTTTTGGTACCTAAAATCAAATTTATATAAATAAGTAAAATTAAAATTGTTTTTAAAAAAAGAAAAAAAAAATGTTAAGGATATGACAAATACGATTTCCAGAAGTTAATAGGACAGGGCTTAATCCAGGTTTTCAATCCTAGTACCTATTTTTGTGAAAAAAATTATTTTTGTGAAAATTTTTTTTATTTTTGTGAAAATTAAGTATTGCTAAAAAAAAATTACATATGTATACAAAAAGTACAATACTATAAAAAACATACACATATTGCGCAAGGAATTGCTTATAAGACAGCTTGCAGATTAATTCCATTTATTAATCCAATGTAAATTATACAGCCAGCCAGCATAGAAATTTTTAAACTTATTTACTAATAAAATTTATTGAACTTATTATGATTAAGAAATTATTATTTTGATATTGTGTTAACTTTACTTTTGAATTAATGGTTGAAAAAATAATAGAAATACAGAATACATAGATAAAATTATATCAATCACAGAGATATTTTGCGATTTTCAGTATTTTTAAAGATAGTAATTATGTTTTGAGCCTGTTCATCAGATAATAATTTGGATCCATTGAAAATTATGTTTAGATGACAATTTAAAGACTTCTGTGAAA